GGTAACGAACACACACACATATTATAATATATATATATATATATATATATATATATATATACATATATATATATACATATATATAAGCGCAAATAAGAAGCGTTACCGTAGACGGTGGCCAGGAGCATCGAGAGCGGAGAGAAGAAGAAGAAGAAGAAGAAGAAGAAGATTTCGGTCGATTTCTTGGCCGTTTGGTAAGAACAACGAGGGGAGCGGCGGGGGTGGCCGAGGATCCGCGGACAAAGGGCAAATTTTCCGAATAATTTCACGAATACCTCGTCTCGGGTGGTGGTCGTTGGAGCGGAGAAAGTGGCGGGCCCGTCGGCGTGCACGCCGAGAAAAAGACTACAAAGGAGGAAGAAAAACTGGCCGCATACGCCGCTTTCACGTACCAAACAGGCGGATATCGAATTGGAGATATTCGAGGATCTCCAGGGGAGAGGCGATTCCCCGGAGTAGAAGGAAGAAGAAGAAGAAGAAATTGGTGGAAGATGGGAGAGAGAGAGAGAGAGAGAGAGAGAAGCGTACACGGCCGTGATCGCGACGCATAACGAATTCCACCTGTGCGCGGGACGGACGGCTCCTCGCCCTTCTTCCATTCATCCGCGGAGGGCCGCCGCTCCTCCAACGAGGAACAGACGTGACGAGGTCGCGGCCGAGAGAGGGATACCGCCGCTCGTTTAACTCGCCAATTTATTCTCGCGTTTTGTAATTAACACCAGAAAAGAAGTAGCTTAGTCGGTGACTCCCTCCTCCGCCCTCCTTTCGTTCTCCCAGTCCGACTGCTGATTTCGCTTCTCTCCGCCTCCGCCGCCACACGAACAACACGTTGTACAGCGTTACATCGCGCACGGAACGAAAACACGAGGCGCGTTATTGCAAGCGTTATTGCGAAGCGGCGCGCAAAGAGTAGGGATTGGAAACGTGTGGTGGATGAGAAACCACCGTGCGGTTGAAAGGAGCGAAGGGGGATGAACGAGGATGAAAAAGCGAGATCCGCAGATAGACGTAGTAGGAGAGAAGGAGAGAGGATAGGAAGGAAGGAAGGAAGGAGGGAGAAAGAGAGAGAGAGAGAAGGCGAAGAAGGAGAGAAAAGGCGAACGAGAAGAAGAAAAGGAGGAGGAGGAGGAGGAGGATGATGGAGGCCTCTCCTCCGCATGCCACTGCAGTCAGCCCAGACAGAAAGCGGTCTGTATAATTATGGGTTGTCACCTCATCAGCCGCGAGAGGGGCAAAGAGGTGGCGGTATACGTCCGCGCGCGGTCTCGCTGGGGTGGGAAGTTATAGGAGCGCGGTCTTTAGCTCAAATTGTGTTTTATCGTCTCCCTCGCGTTCCGCTCTGCCCGCGATCCGATCGGAGATCCTCGGCTCTTGTTTTCTTTCTTTCTTTCTTTCTTTCTTTCTTTCTTTTTCCAATTCTCCGTTCCAACCATCCACGCGATGGAAGAAGAACGAACGTTGCGAATGAACGACGACGAGGTTTCGAATTTTCGAAAAGACTCGACGCGAGTATCGAGTTTTCAGGATTTTACAAGGTTTCGAAACGTCTTCATTGGTCGGTATATATATATATATATATACGCGACCGGTAAATAGCCGTTGTCGGGGTTATAAAATCGGGGAACGTGCGTTTTAACGGTGATCCACCGGTGATCGGAACGTGCCAAGCTGTTCTCTCTCTCTCTCTCGCTCCCTTCTTTTCACGATCCTTTTCACCCCCGTACCCTTTTTTTCTCGCTCTCCGCCCGCTAGTATCCTACAGCTAGCATTCTCCTCTCTCCGTCTCAGTTCCCCCTCCGTGGGTTTTTTCTCTCGGTCACGTCGGTGCACACACGTAGCAATCTAGGAAAGGCGGGCGGGTTGGGGAGGGGAAAGGAAAGAAGGGTACCGCGCGAGAAGGTACCGAGGCTAAGTGGAGAGTTTAGAGGGATTTCATTAAATCATATGGATTGGGGATAATGTATGTTATCGAGCGGAGCGTTCAAATCGCGCTCTATAAGTTGTAATAAGTCCAATTTTAGGGCCGGTCATGGGCCGGGGTCCCACAGTGGTTGTCAAACGATCCACGGCGTGGTCCCGTGGCGGGTCGCGGGCCGTGCCGGGATTCGCGGGATCGACAGTCACTGTCCAGCCAACCCGCCACTTACTCGTCAAACGGCCAGCCGGTCCGCCGAAATCACTGCCATTTAGATAATTTGTAATGAATAGGCACCGCTCATTTTCTACCCCTTCCACCATCGACCCATTCTTCTCCTCCTCCTCCTTCTCTTTCTCTCGCCCTCACCTTTAGTTGCACCCTATATACATATACACACACGTGTATATATTATATACATATATTGCCCTCCTTTCGACCTCTCTCATGCAATAGCATCATCTTCGACGTCGTCCACTCGCACTCGGGTGGAACGATATCGGGGGGAGGAGTGGAGGGGGGCCTGTTGGACGATCCGTCAATAACGATTTCGCGTCGATTCGAATGCAAAGTATCCGTATCTTCGTCGTTGATCCCGTCCCCTCCCTTCCCTTGACGAAGATATACGGCCTGTTTCGAAACTGCGTTGGGAAAATCCTCTCGGCAAATACGCGTATTTGCGGAGAGGACATCGATCAAGCCCGTCTATTTGCGGGGTGTGTCGTCCCCCGAAACTAACGCGGCTCGCTGGTTTTCCGGTTTCAGATGTGCCGAGGATGGAGAAGTCGCCGCTGCTGGCGAACGGGTACAACCACCCGCCCACGCACCTCAGTCACATGCAATTCATGCAACTGGGCGGACATCCGGGCGCAGGACACACGGCCATCCTGTCGCCGGCCAGTCTGCCGCATCATCTGCAAGCGCAGGCACAGGCGCGGGCCGAGCAGGGGCTCAAGGTGAACCCGAACATGTCCAACATGGAGGCGCTGGCGAGGTAAGACGGGGAGGGGCGTCGAGATTTTCGCGCGTAGAGACGGGAAATCATCTCATCGACGATAGAGCTCGCGTTTGTTCCGTAGTTGTTGTTGCGTAGTCGCGAGGAAAGGGGCGGCGAGGCCAAAAGAATACAACTTTAAGAGGATTTGAAGAGACGGCGAAGCCGTGGAAATCCGAGGGGTCTCGACACCGCTTGATCTTTTCTTCCCTCTCTCTCGCCTTCCACTTCGCCTCTCGATGGCGGAATCCAAGTCCGTTCCTTGGCTGACTCGCGTTCCTTCTAGGTCGTTTACTCGGCTCGCGTTACGATCTCTCTCTCTCTCTCTCTCTCTCTCTCCTCCCCCGCCTCCTTCGCTCTTCTCCTTCACCCCTTCGCGCTACGAATCGATCACCATCTCGATCTCTGGGAGGGGAGGAGAGTTTCGATCCGAACCGACGAAATTCCCTCCCCCCCCCCTTTTCCGACCTACATGTTCTCGTACACTCGTTCGTACTTCGTTCCTCCCTTCGAGAGGCCAAGAGAAGAGATCGAACGAGGGGGGCGAGGGATAAATCCTCGAGACGTTGCGGTCCCGAGACGTATATCGCGGATTTGACGCGGGGCCAGGGAGAAACGAAGACGCGTGAGTAGTCGAAGGAAATCCCTCCCCCCCCCCCCTGTTGGTTGATCCAAGCATTTGTTAACGCGTTTCTAACGGAATGCCACACGGCATACGTTACGTTTATCCTCCTCCGTGGATCTCCGGTTTCCAGCCACGGGACTTTCGAGGATTCGCGCAACTGTAATTAACCTCCGTCGATTCGTCCGTTGTTCGCTCGTCCATCCGTTCGATTCGTCTCTCGTGTCCTTCCGAGGCTGTACCGTATACGCCCGTGTATAACGACGCGACGAAGGCGGCGCCGCACGTTTCGCATTATGATTTCAGCGCTTTGCTTTTAATTAAAATGCAAATCTATCGTGGCAGAGGAGCGAGAGAGATCGGGAGGTAAGACGGATTACGTCTGGGGGCGGCACGACAAACACCGGAATATGATTAATTCAACGCAACCCCATCCCGACCGTCAGCGCACCGTTTGCCCTCCATCGCCACCTCCGATTCAACCCTTGCCGCGACCATCTCTACCTACTCGTTTCTCGGTTTCGCTCTCTCTCTCTCTCTCTCTCTCTCGCGCGCGCGCGCGACCGGAACTCGCTCCATGACCGTCATTTTCCACCGATCAATTTTTCCCTCCTATATTTCCTATCCTGTATTCGTCCGTCGTCGTCGTGGAAATCGTTCTTTCCAAAAAAAAAAAAAGGGAATCGGCCGATATCGCTCCTCCTTCCATCGACTCCTCGGGTAGGTAAATTAGCGACGAGACTCTCGACTCTCGGTGGGGGAGGGGAGGGGACCGACGACGTCTTTTTTAATCAACGACTTCAAAGCGCGCGTTTCGTTTCGTTTCGAGCACGCGATCGAATCAAAGGACAAACGGAAAGGACGAGACGGGCACGACGGGACGGGGCACGAGGCGAAGACGCTCTTAATCAACTCTGCGGATCCACTTTCCTTCCAGGATATCCCGTGGCAGGCTTATAATTAACCGATTCGCTTATCAACCTCTCCCTCTCCTCCTTTTCTCCCTCCCTCCCTCCCTCCCTCCCTCCCTCCCCGCCGGGATTCGCGCCGTAACGGAACGG